TTTTTGTTGTTGCCTTTTCATTTCTATTTGAATCCTTCTGAATATCCGATAAAAATAAAATAAACCACTTTTCTTTAATTTAAATATTAATCTTTACTCAATACTGATTTATTAAAAGAAAAACTACAAAAATAATATGCAATAAAAGAATTATTAAATATTTTATTATATATTGTACTTAAAATATTCCATTTTGTGGATATATTTTTAACTTAGTCTTTTTATTAACAACCCCAAATCATTTTGTTTTTACTGGATCACATATTCTTCTATTCACTTTTATTGAAACACATCCAATTTTTTTTTTGTTACTGTTATTCTCTGAGTTCACCAGTTTAGGTTAAGGTCGGGGCGATTAATACTCGTACTTTGTTGAATTTTTGTTTATCGAGCTAGAGTTAGATCGCTTTCGTTATGTCTCATTATTAATACCTACTTTATATTAAATTTGTGTCACTTTAAATCTAACCTCAGATTTTGTTTTTTTTTATTGATTCGATTATATTTTTATTTTTATTTATTTTTTTTGTTTCAATTTTCTGTCTAGTGTTGGCTGTACTTCTCGTAGATCTGTTTTTTTTCTCTCGTATACTTTAGAACTATTATTAGCTACCACTTTCTTATGTTTAAAAGGATTTCTCATAGTTTTGACTCTATTTGTGAAATAGTTCAATATCATCTGCAGATGCCAGAAATTGAACTGTTTCTATTTCAGGAACTTTCTCTAATATTGATTCCAGATTCACTATTGATATACTTAAATGCGATATTAAACACCTTCCAAACTGTAGTTTGAGATATGAAAATATAAAATTTGTAATAATTTTTCTGATATTGAATTGTTTGTGTCTTTAACTTAAAAATCTTATACAACGATTCTAAATAAGCAATCGAGTATGAAATGTATAAAAATATAATTTTATACCAACAAAATATATATAAATTTTTATTGTGTTTAAAAAAAAAGTAAAAACCTATTTTGATAAAAAATTATAAATCTATTTTAATAAAAAAAAATATATGTATATATGAATATTATATATACAGCCATAGTCAAAAGTATTTACACAACGAACTTTTTTGTACATATTGCATGAAAACATATTTTTATTTGTGGGACGTAAGTTGCTAAAATTTATTTTTTTGTCACTTAGTTTAATCTATGCAGAACCAAATCAAAAAAGAATTGGAAAGATAACTGTTCATTTAACAAAAATATAAGCAAATGCACTGATGCCTATTAGTTGTCAAAAGTATTTACACACATTTTTTTTGCGTCAAAAGTATTTACACAAAACGTTAATAAGCATTTATTCTAGGATTTCCTTTATGTAAGTGCAGTTGTTGGCTTTTGTCGCAAACTACACAAGTTTAGAGATTTCAAAATTTCAGAAATTGTTTAGGAAAATGATAAAAACCAAGGAATTATCAGTTGAAATTCGATCTGCGGTTGGCACCTAATATAAGAGTGGGATTTCGCCGACGAATTTATTAAAGTTATGCAAACTTTTACATAAAACGATGTGAAATTTAGATGAAAATAAGAACATATGCAAAAATTTAATAAATTTGAAGAGAACTGGGCGGAAACCTCCCATGAATCAAAAGGAATGCACATGATTATTAGAAGTAGTCGTAGGAAAACCTACAATAAGTTCTGACAAAATAGCAGCATCATCGGAAAAGTTGATTGGCAAGATTATTTGTGATGCTACACTACATCGCAGGTGGAAAAATATTAATATCAATACCTATGTGGGGCACAAAATAGTCAATATTACTCTAACGATCTTATTAAATATTCTCTCATTTGCTTTGAAGTATTTTGAGACACCTATACAGTTGTGAAACAATGTGTTATGAACAGATGAGTCTGAATTTCAATTCTAGTGTTGATTTGATAACCACTCCATGCATTTACGACAACGCTAAAAGAATAAAGCAGTGCAGTCACTCAATAGATTTGAAGGTGGCACGGTTTTGTTTTTGGAATGTCTATCATACAATGCATTTGGAGATTTGGTACCGAAAAATGGCACCTTTAATCAGTCCGGTTATATTGGTATTTTAAATAACCATGTCTTAACGTCAGAGAATAGACCTTTTCCAATCAATAACTGAGTTCTACAACATGAC